GTTGGAGAATCAGCAGCACCAAATATGTGCATGATCATTTTGCATTCTTCAAGAAGACCTGGATTCTTCATATCTGGGTTCAAGAGGAATCGAAGGAATAAGATGTTAGTGTCTGTAACACACACGTGGTGGAACATACTTGCAATGTCTGCAGCAAGGGCCACTTGGTACAGCCTGAATCTCACAATAATACCGAATAGGCTATTCAGTAGATCAGGGCCTGTCATGAGATTGTCGTTAATTGATGTGTCAAGGTAACTTGCTGCAGCGTCAAAGACGACACGAAGCTTGCCAGGTTTGTTGGGGTTCACAACTTCAAGATGAGAGAGATACCTAGTCCGTGGTGAGGTAGTAAAACATCTTCATTGGTCAGCTTCCGCGCAAAAGCTTTTGAAATGTAGCTATTGAGTAAAGTTCTTCAAAATCATTTTCCTTCACAAGCTGCTTGCTTAAGGACTTCAGGCGCCTCTCAGTAAGTGGTCGGTTACTTTTACACCCATGTTCCCAAAGCATACCAACCATATAATGTCCATCCACAAGTTTATGTTTTTTCAAGCAAGTTCTGTTAGCTGCAGTCTTCAACAGATACTGGCCGCTTGGTTCCATGTGTGATTCCGAAAGACTCAGTTGTCCAAAATCTTTCTATTCGGTCAGAAAGAGCTTTTGTCAGAAATCGTGAAGTTTACTCGCGTCTGAACTGCTTCGAACTTTTCACCTGTCAGGGCCACCCCTATGAGGTACCAACCGATAATAGTGCATACTCCTTAGGGTTGATTTTCATCACCACGTATGACATCAGTTTGTGCCTCAGGAACATTTATTCCAATAAGAATCGAGACTTGTGGAGGTTCAATATTTGGTTCAGCATGGTTCCAACCCGGTCTAATCACTTGAGCTGGGCAGTTGACCTTATGTCCATGCTTTATTCATATTCTAGAGATTTGCATTTAAATCATCTACAGGTTTGATGTGAAACGCAAATTTCTTGATATCTGCTGTGATGATCCTGTCAGGGTGTTCGCTGTTAGCGAGTGTTGTTCACCTTTTAGATCTAGTCCCTTGGAGTTTTCAACATCTATAAGTTGTTATATCACTGGCGGAGTCCAGAATAGCATCTGTTTTCATTGCTCTCCCGTTTGGGTCAAACACAATAATTGAAACAAGTTGAAAGTATACACACGTTCACCGTCTTTTGATTGAATTTTCTTGTTTACCTTCTCAACTGCCTTAATGTGGAGCATGGTGTGATGGTTTTGTTTGCAGTCATATTCCTGGCAGAGGACAGATGAGAAACACTTTGGATCTGTATGTCCTTGTTTTAAACAGTTGAAGCAAAGAAAATTGTCTTTGATGATTTGTCTTCTCTCATCGACAGATTTGTTGCAGAACAGTGGACAGCGGTAGAGGTTATGGGCATTTGAACAGAGGACAGATCATTTTTTGTTCGCATGGCGATCAACTTGTCTTGCTGTACTGTTGTCGGTGGAAGGAACTGGCTTCTGTTTTGACATGTCTTCAGTTTCTTTGGAGACTGTGAACTGTGTGTTTGTCGCTTGGAGTTTGCCTTGTCTTTCTGACTTCCTTACACTTCACTGTTGTAGTGCTGGAGGTGTGTGATGTCTCGGACTGAACAGCTTTATGGCATAAGGATTTTGGTCAGCATCAACAGGGTCCTTTAGCCAACTATGGAGGTCGAGTAATGCTGGTTCCCGTGACTTCATTACTGTTTTGACGAATTCAGTCCACTTGCAACAGTCTTCTGGCTGCCTTCAACTAGGTGTCACTAGTGGCAAGATCCGAGAACTAGTTCAATTGCTTCAAAGTAATGACACAATATATACCTAATTGCAATATAGAATTTTCGTGGGGCTGTACAGTCGTGTGGAGCAATGATTTGACAATTTGTCACTTTGTCCAAATAGCTCTGGCAACCTTCACTCGATGGCAAAATCCATGTTTTAGCTCCTGAAAAGCTATAGCATAATTCTTGCCGCCATACCCAAGGCCGTGTAGAAGTTAGTATGCGTCGCCTCTTAAATGAACCAACAAAAGGTCCATTTGTCGAGGGTCTGTTATATGGGTCTGCAATGGACCCTCATGTAAAACTGCTCTACAAACCTTTGCCATTCTATCGCTGCACCCGAGAACACTGGCAACTCTACTTTAGGCAAATGTCTGCCACTCTCAACTTTAACAAGAACCTGTGCTGGCTGACCATACAGAAGTGATATTCGACAGCTCAATGGGGTTTCCTTTTCTGATGTTAACATGTCAATCCACGAATCGATAGCTTCATCTTTGTGTTTGAACTTGTTGACAGCTTCTTGAGATCTGATCTGCATGGCATGGCTTAGCCTGGAATGGGAAACCAGATCCTACCTACATGACATGGCTTAGCCTTGGATGGGAAACCAGATCCTACCTACATGACATGGCTTAGCCTTGGATGGGAAACCAGATCCTATCTACATGACATTGGTACCATTTACATTTCCATTAATGTCTGATTTTGCAATGTCCTGTATAACTTCGGCTTCAAGATCAGCCATTGCTATTTCCTGCCTCAGATGTTGTTTTGCACGCTCAGCTTCAATGATTGCGGCTTTAAGCGGCCAGGTTAGCTGCCTCTCTGACATGCGATGCTCTAAGTCGGGCTTGGTCAGCTTGTAGGTCGAGTTTTAGCACGTGAAGAAGTGGACACATGCCCGGTTTGCTGACACTGACAATGGCATCAGACACTGGCTCAACTTTCACTGATTGTCCATGATTAAACACATTCCATAATGTTCAGTTGTACTCTGTGTAATATATAGAGAACAGTGCAACGATGTCATAGCATTGTGACGTCATCAAGTACATGACGTCATAGCATTGCCAGGGCATTGTACAAAATATTACTGTCAAGCGATATCTCCTGTGGAACACAGTGATAAGTGTTTATATTGATGATCAGCGCAAAGTTAGAAAATAATAATGGTGTTTCTCCTCTACAGAAGCTGTGACTACGACGTGACTAGTAAGTTGTGTTGCGCCACGTGCCTACAGAGTGTCGATCACCTCGAAATTTCATGGTTTGGCGCAGACATGCTAATACAGTTCATACAAGTTCGTTAAACACGTCCAAAATGCGAAAACAGTCCATAGGTTTGATGTGTGAATACGACATATCTATCCAGTGGGCTACTCAACTTCACCATGTATAACAGACAGTACTGGGTAGATGTGTGAATCCAACATATGCATCAAGTTGGCTACTCAATATCACCATGTATAACAGACAGTACTGGGTTGATGTGTGAATACAACATATGTATCAAGTTGGCTACTCAATATCACAATGTATAACAGACAGTACAGGGTTGATGTGTGAATACAACATCTGTATCAAGTTGGCTACTCAATATCACAATGTATAACAGACAGTACAGGGTTGATGTGTGAATACAACATCTGTATCAAGTTGGCTACTCAACATCACAATGTATAACAGACAGTACAGGGTTGATGTGTGAATCCAACATCTGCATCAAGTTGGCTACTCAATATCACAATGTATAACAGAGAGTACAGGGTTGATGTGTGAATACGACATATTTATCCAGTGGGCTACTCAACCTCACCATGTCTAACAGACAGTACAGGGTTGATGTGTGAATACGACATATTTATCCAGTGGGCTACTCAACCTCACCATGTCTAACAGACAGTACAGGGTTGATGTGTGAATACGACATATTTATCCAGTGGGCTACTCAACCTCACCATGTCTAACAGACAGTACAGGGTTGAAGTGTGAATACGACATATTTATCCAGTGGGCTACTCAACCTCACCATGTATAACAGACAGTACAGGGTTGAAGTGTGAATACGACATATCTATCCAGTGGGCTACTCAATATCACAATGTATAACAGACAGTACTGGGTTGATGTGTGAATACAACATCTGTATCAAGTTGGCTACTCAATATCACAATGTATAACAGACAGTACAGGGTTGATGTGTGAATACAACATCTGTATCAAGTTGGCTACTCAATATCACAATGTATAACAGACAGTACAGGGTTGATGTGTGAATACAACATCTGTATCAAGTTGGCTACTCAATATCACAATGTATAACAGACAGTACTGGGTTGATGTGTGAATACAATATCTGTATCCAGGTGGCTGCTCAACATCATACATCACAGACAGTCGTGAGTTTTAATCTCGAAAGAAACACCTTGGATTGGTAGATTCTATGTCAGTACAACCGACGACAGGGAGGGTTGTTCCTCGTATCGATCACTGAAATTGCCAGGTTCATATAGGAAATATATGCCATGTTATGAGAATTTGTTTTTGTTAATTATAATGTCACATGAATTAACTTTTAGTGGTTGAGGGTCACAAAAGTTTAAAACCCTGAATGTGGATTTGAACTCTCATCTTGAACTTAGGCTGTATAATTTCACCTGTTAAGAGTAAGCTGGAGTTACCGCCCTTTGTTTTGCTTCCGGTGTGGGACTGTAGGATTCCAGTACTTTCGAAATGGTCGTAGTGTGGCGTGGCTTATTTTTAAATTCCCTAGAACTGTATAATAGGTGTGTAAGGAACGGTTGTCGAAAAGGAAGGCCACTATTTTGGATAATATGTATGCTAACATCGACGTTTCAAGAACCACCACTCAAGAAGCATCGTCTACACTGAACTTTCAACAGCCGTCGACAATATTCAATCAGTAGATCCATTTTTACCGGGAGTATCGATACTTTGGTGAGTTGATATTTTAGATTTCTGGCCCAATATTTTAGATTTGTGATATAATAGTATTGTATTATAAATCTGTACTGTCATTCATTGTAACCTTGTTTATTCAAAATACAACTGAATATTTCAGACTCGTCTGTGTTTTGTTTTGCACAAGTCTTTTATTTGCAATAATTTCTAAACCGCACCAATTAGATAACGTTGACTATGGCGTTAAATATCAACCCCCCACTGCAATACTCACATAACCCTGACATGGGGTCTGTGGCCAGATTCTTGCAGTCTTCGAGAAGTGCAGCGGCGTGTAGGCTCGACTCACCCGGAGCTACATTGGCCGGGGAACACACACACCTCACCTCCTTGCCCTTCTCCACGAAATGTACGATCAGTCCAACCCCAACAGCAACAGCTATCGCCAGGAAGGCCAACACTGCCCCGGTTATGGGTGAAACACGGAGACCAGGCTTCAGTTCTTTCTTATCCGGGAGCTCAGAGTCACTGGGAGCCATGTTCAGAACTGACCACCGCTACAACTCGCTGAGATGCTTCTGAAGTCCTTACACTGTGAGCTCACACACCATACTCACCTGAGATTGACGCTTTCCTAGTGAACAGCATAGGTCCATAAATCTTCACTTACACTTCTAGTCGGTTCCGTATTATCTATTTGGGCCAGTCATTACACCTTCGTCGTATCACCAACAGCCTCTGTAAACACACCTTAGGACACACACCTTGCATGCAGCTGTTGGTTACCCTGGACTCCTGTACTGGGCTGTTTGTTGGTGGTCATGAAATGACTGTGTATCTGTGAGAGGAAACTATGGTGGACATACCCTGCTTTCAAGCACGGTTGCTTCAGTAGGGAGGCAGTGGACCTGTCTAGGCTAGAGATGGTAGTCGGCCCATCATAAAACGTGAGTGAGTGAGTAACAATGTACATCGCATCGGCAATCTTACAGCCATGTAGCGATGAAAACAAGGTCATCAAATTAAGATATCTGTCGACAAAGGACAGTAAAACCAACTAGACTATCACAGATATATATTTAAAAGCAGTAATTAAATCTAAATACTTTAACTATAGAGGGACGATACAATATAAAAACAGGCTAGTGATCGCCAACATCTGAAGGTAGATCACAATACTAGGGACCATCGGAACTTACAATACCTTTTCTACCTGCATGGACCCTAGTTGGATTTACAACATCCCTTCAGCCGCTGGCGATTGTAGGAAATATTTAGCCAACTTTAAAAGAACAAATATACTACGTTTTAAACGTTTGGTAGAATAAAGTTTTGTTATATTCTGCAAGGATAATGTTATACGGCGTTGTGTAAGAGATGGCTCATAGGTCTCAACACAGAGACTGGCAACAGGAGAGGTTCTAAAGGACCCACGACATAGTCTTAATCCTTGGTGGTGGACAGAATCAAGTAGTTTTATGTTGCTTTTACAGGCACCACCATATACGATGGAGTCGTAATCAAGTTTGGAACGGACCAGTGATCGATATAGGTGTAGGAGGGTAGCTTGATCGCCTCCCCACTTAGAATTAGAAACGACTTTCAACAAGTCAAGTGCCTTCAGGCTTTACCTTTTATGTATTTAACATGTAGTAAGATGGTCAAATGGGAGTCAAAGATAAGCCTTATGAAAGTGGCTTCTCTAGCAACCTTGATGGGTGTGCCTTATATAAATAGTTCTTGGTCTTTATGCGGTTTATATTGTCTACAGAAATGTATACAAATTGTTTTGGATTTAGCAAATTTATAACCGTTTTCACTTGAGTGAGTGAGTTAAAATTATATATGTTGCATAGGCAATGTTACAGCCATATAGCGAAGAAAACCAGGTAATAAAGTTTAAAACAGCTGTGGACCAAGGACAGTAAAACCAACTAGACTATCACAGATTTATTTAAAACCAGTAATGAAATCTATAATAATTTAGCTATAGAGGACGATACAATATAAAACCAGGCTATAGATCGCCAACAACTGAAGGTAGATCACCATACTGGGGACCACGGGGACTTACAATGCATTTGCTACCTGCATGTACCCTAGTTGGAATCCCTTCAGCCGCTGGCGATTGTAGGGGAGGTTTAGCCGAATTATAAAAGAACAAATATACTGCGTTAATAAACCTGGTAAGCTTAAATTTCAGTTTGAAAGTTTGGGAACTTACGTATATCCTCTCAGAAGGACAAAAGTCAGTTTTCAATTGACCATTTATGAATTGTGTTGAGACATTTTCAATTGCCTCTCTATAGTATGCACATTTTACCACGACAAGAAATATATAATCATCCACGAAAAGCGATCATTTAAAACCCTTGAAAGGTTGTTTATTTTAATACTAAATAATGTTAACGGAAAATACTGCCTTGCTGCACACCTTGATCCTGATTCCACCTTGTTACCGGTGTGTCATCAGTCGGATTTATTGCTGAGAGAATTGTGGGACACCTTGATCCTGATTCCACCTTGTTACCGGTGTGACATCAGTCGGATTTATTGCTGAGAGAATTGTGGGACACCTTGATCCTGATTCCACCTTGTTACCGGTGTGTCATCAGTCGGATTTATTGCTGAGAGAATTGTGGGACACCTTGATCCTGATTCCACCTTGTTACCGGTGTGTCATCAGTCGGATTTATTGCTGAGAGAATTGTGGGACACCTTGATCCTGATTCCACCTTGTTACCGGTGTGTCATCAGTCGGATTTATTGCTGAGAGAATTGTGGGACACCTTGATCCTGATTCCACCTTTTTACCGGTGTGTCATCAGTCGGATTTATTGCTGAGAGAATTGTGGGAAAATGGGCACCTCTAGACAGGTCGTCGTGGACTGACCAATAAAAATCGTTATTGATATTGGGGTCTGTGAGAGACAGATCAAGTGCAGAATAAGTTCCTGAACCGTGGTGTAAATATGTGGCACTATGGCCACACTTTTGGCATTTGTAACACTGGAGTGCATTTGGTACATATATGTACAATGTCCACCTTTAATAGACTTGAGAAGCACAGTCATACCACATGTGAAAATGCAAGTGTGTGTTTGTATTACGTTTGAATGCTGTTTCTTATGAAACGTTTGACAGAAGTCACACCTTGGTCTCTCGATTCGGCCAGTATTTCCTCGTCTGTCATGTCTGATAAATAACGGGACGTGTCTCTGACGATGTCTTAACAAGTGTTCAGCGTTTTACGCACTGAGACAACAACCCGTTTATTCACAAACTGCTGTAAATCCCAGCAGACTGACAGATTGCTGTCCCCGAACACATTCTACTGTAATCCCAGCAGATTGACAGATTACTGTCCCCGTACACATTCTACTGTAATCCCAGCAAACTGACAGATTGCTTTCTCCGTACACATTCTACTGTAATCCCAGCAGATTGACAGATTGCTGTCTCCGTACACATTCTACTGTAATCCCAGCAGATTGACAGATTGCTGTCTCCGTACACATTCTACTGTAATCCAAGCAGATTGACAGATTGCTGCACCTTGGATGCCCTTGGAGACAGTAGAAGGATTAATCTTCAGTGGACTCCCATCTTAACCTCTCCACCAACACCTTTGATGCCCTTTGGAGACAGCAGAAGGATTAATCTTCAGTCGACTCCCATCTTAACCTCTCCACCAACACCTGGATGTCCTTGCAGTTAGCAGAAGGATTAATCTTCAGTGCACTCTCATCTTAACCTCTCCACCAATACCTTGGATGCCCTTGGAGACAGCAGAAGGATTAATCTTCAGTGGACTCCCATCTTAACCTCTCCACCAACACCTTGGATGCCCTTGGAGACAGCAAATAATTAATCTTCAGTGGACTCCCATCTTAACCTCTCCACCAACACCTTGGATGCCCTTGGAGTCAGGAAAAGTATTCATCTTCAGTGGACTCTCATCTTAACCTCTCCACCAACACACTGGATGCCTTTGGAGACAGCAGAAGGATTATTCTTCAGTGGATTCCCATCTTAACCTCTCCACCAACACCTTGGATGCCCTTTGAGACAGCAGGAGGATAAATCTTCAGTGGACTCCCATCTTAACCTCTCCACCAACACCTTGATGCCCTTGGAGACAGCAGAAGGATTAATCTTCAATGGACTCCCATCTTAACCTCTCCTTCAACACCTTGGATGCCCTTGGAGACAGCAAATAATTAATCTTCAGTGGACTCCCATCTTAACCTCTCCACCAACACCTCGGATGCCCTTTGGAGACAGCAAATGATTAATCTTCAGTGGACTCCCATCTTAACCTCTCCACCAACACCTTGATGCCCTTGGGAGACAGCAGAAGGATTAATCTTCAGTGGACTCCCATCTTAACCTCTCCACCCACACCCTGGATGCCCTTGGAGACAGCAGAAGGATTAATCTTCAGTGGACTCCCATCTTCAGATGATATAACCAAAACCCTTGGCGAAGAATTAGTCACTAAGGAAGATACTTCTTCATCAGACTGTAATTGATTTTTGTGAAACTCATGGACATAGTTTGATGATGAAGAATGTTTGGCAAGAGTTTCGCCAATTTTATTTGCTATTTCAGCCTTATTAGTTGATAGATTATCACCATCTTTCAGATGGTGGGCATCCCTGGGCATCCAAGGTGTGGGTGGAGAAGTTAAGATGGGAGTCCACTGAAGATTAATCCTTCTGCTGTCCCCAAGGGCATCAAGGTGTTGGTGGAGAGGTTAAGATGGGAGTCCACTGAAGATTAATCATTTGCTGTCTCCAAGGGCATCCGAGGTGTTGGTGGAGAGGTTAAGATGGGAGTCCACAGTAGATTTAGAACCTTTGCCCTTTATTCTTTGGACCATGTTCCACACCTTTGACATAGGTGTATGTGAATTTATTTTGGAAACATAGTTCCTCCAAGACTTATTTTGTTTAAATGCGCGTTGAGCCTTGGCATTTGACATTTTAACTTTGTCTAAATTAATGACTGTAGGATGTTCGCGAAAATACTTTTTCGCTTTCTTCCTGCACTTTCAGGCCTGTTTACATTCATTATTAAACCATGCTTTACGAATGTGTAGAGTTGCAGAGGACTGTGAAATTGTTCTGTCAGCAATGCGATTTGAAATATCCAAAACGACTTTATAGGATCTTCACTGTTGCTGAATAGATCATGCTTCAATCGTTCAACACACAGAGTCTCATATAATGACCAATCAGCCTGGCGAAGTTCCTTCTTGATAAAGGAGGATCATCACCAGGGTTGATTGTTTTGAGAATGGTGGGGAAGTGATCAGTCTAACGCAGGTCATCATGGACATCCATTCAAATCCATTATATAAGGTTGAGTCAATGAGTGATAGATCCAGGGAAGAATATGTTTCCGTAGCTGGATGTAGATAAGTCGATGAGTCGTAATTTGTCGCCTGAAAACCAGAGTGTTCTAAGTCCACTTTTGACAAAATTAGAGTTAGTATGCTCAGGGTAGGTTTTAGAGCATAATCTATTACTCTAGCAACTTTTTTACAGTGCTATCTAGCTTTGAAGGGGTTTAGAGCATAATCATTTACTCTAGCAACATTTTACAGTGCTAACTAACTTTGAAAGGGGTTTAGAGCATAATCTTTTACTCTAGCAACATTTTACAGTGCTATCTAACTTTGAAAGGGGTTTAGAGCATAATCTTTTACTCTAGCAACATTTTACAGTGCTATCTAACTTTGAAAGGGGTTTAGAGCATAATCATTTACTCTAGCAACATTTTACAGTGCTATCTAACTTTGAAAGGGGTTTAGAGCATAATCATTTACTCTAGCA